AAATACTTTTTGAGTTGTAGTTGGACATGATGCCTTTATTTTACTTATTTTTATGTGGTGCTGAGGATCCAACCTGGTGCCCCTGAGGGTTGATTGTTATGCCTGGTGTGAGGTAGGCCCTAGGTTCATGCTCTTGCATGTGGAGACCCACTAGTCCCAGCACCATTGATTGAGAAGACCATTCTTTCGCCATTGAATTGTCCCAGCAGCCTCATTAAAAGTGCCTCATCATGTAAGTCAGGATTTAGTTCTAGATCATTAATTCAATTCCATTGATCTCTGTCTATCCTTTTGGGGAGAATTTTTAAAAATATTTTTAAAGTTGTGGGTGGATTTTATTTTATTATTCATTCATTTATTTATTTTTATGTGGTGTTGAGAATTGAACCCAGTGCCTCACATGTGCTAGGCAAGAGCTCTACCACTGAGCCACAGCCCCAGCCCACTTGGGGGGAGTTTTTAAGTTATTATTTCATTTCCCTTCACAATTATAGGACTATTATTTTACATTGAGTAAGTTGTGGTCTTTAGAAATTGGTCCACTTAATTCACATTGTCAAATATATGTATGTAAAGTTGTTTATAGTATTCTTTTATTATCCTTTTGATGTTTGCTGGATCTGCCTCATTACTAATTTTGATAATTTGCATGTTTTTTCTTTTTTCTTAGTATTGCTACAAGTTTGTCAGTTTAGCTGATTTTCTTCAAAGAATCGCTTCTCATTTTTGTTGATTTTTTTTTCTCTATTATTTTTGTTTTCAATTTTGTTGGATTTTACTCTTATTTATTTCCTGCTGCTTGATTCTGGCTTATGTTGTTTTCTTTTTTAAAAGTTTCTTAAGGTGGAAGCTTAGGTTATTAATTTGAGATTTTCCTTCTTTTGTAACATGGATGTGTGATATAAATTTCCCTCTTGGCATTGCTTTAGCTATGTCCTACAAGTTTGATATATTGTATTCTTTTTAAAAATTTTTTAGTTATACTTGGACACTATATCTTTATTTTGTTTATTTATTTTTTTATGTGGTGCTGAGGATTGAACCCAGGGCCTCACATGTGCGAGGCAAGTGCTCTGCCACTGAGCCCCAGCCCCAACCCCTGGTATATTGTATTCTTATTTTCATGCAGTTCAGTGTATTTTTTAAACTTCCTTGTGACTTCATCTTTGACCCATGATTTATTTAGAATTGTCTTCTTTATGTTTGAGTTACTTCTTATGCCTCTGTTATTTCTAGTTTGATTCTATTGTAGTGGAAGAATACACCAAATTGTAAGAATTTGAATTCTTTTACATTTGTTGAGTTTTGGTATATAGTTCAGAGTATGGTCCATGTTGGTATTTGCACTAGAAAAGAATGTGTATTCTGCTGCTGTTATGGACTAGGTGTATAAATGTCAATTGAATTCTGTTGGGTGATGGGTTGTTGAGATTTTCTGTGTCCTTGCTGATTTTCTGTCCAGTTCTTCTATGGATTTTTGAAAAAAAAAAAAAAGTGAAGAGGTGTCCAACTTTGTGACTTTGACTGTTTCTCTTATATTGTAGCACTTTTGTTGGTTGCATATACATTTAGAATTGCTGTCTTCTTGTGGATTGACTCTTTTTATTATGTGCATTCTGCTGTATTTCTGGTAGTTTTTTGCTTGGAAGTCTACTTTATCTGATATAGCCACTCCACTTTTCTTTCAATGAATATTTGTATGAAATACAGTTTCCCACCAGGCACGGTGGCGCATGCCTGTAATCCCAGGGGCTCTGGAGGATCACGAGTTCAAAGCCAGCCTCAGCAACTTCATGAGGCACTTAGCAACTCACCAAGACCCTATCTCTAAATAAAATATAAAAAAGGGCTGGGGATGTGGTTAAGCACCCTTGGGTTCAATCCTCAATACCCAAAGTACAAACAAACAAAAAAGATCATTTTTCATATTTGGCTTCCAACTTGCCTACATTTTATATTTGAAGTGAATTTCTTCTAGATAAGTTCATTTTTAAATCCACTGTGTAGTCTTTATCTTTTAATTGATATTTTCAGACCATTTACATTTAAGGTGCTTATTTATATGTTACATTTGCCATTATTCTATCTGTTTTGTTTACCATTATTCTGTCTGGCTTTTTGTTCTTTTTCCCTGTCTTCCTGTGGGTTAGCTGGCTTTTTATTTTATTCTTTTAAAATCCCATTTTAATCTACCCATGCACGTGTATCTTGTAGTGGTTGCTAGCTGCTCTGAGTCTGTGCTCATGTTATCACATCACCAGATCAAGTGAGGAGAATAAGCCTAGCCTTCTCTGCGTTTCTTTATCTTCTGTAACGCGGTTACCTTAAATGTGTCTTCTCTGCATATTTAGAACTGCATGAGATACTAGTATAAGTTTTGCTTCGATTATCAAACATAATTTAGAAAACTTAGAAGGAGAAAGAAAATATATTTATCCATAATTTATTCGATCTATGTGTTTCCTTTCTTTCTAGTGGTCAGTGATTCCTTTTTTAAAGTTTCATTAGCCATTCTTCGAGGGGAGCCCTGCTGGTGAATGACTCTTTTAATCTTCCTGATCTTTCATCTGAATGTCTTGATTCCCCAGCTCTGTTTTTGAGGTGTGCAGGTGTCTGGGTCAACAGTTCTTTTCTTTCTTTCATTCCTGCTTGCTTCCCTGGCTTCTGATGGTAAATCTTTTTTTTCTTGGTACCAGGGATGGAACTCTGGGGCACTTGGCCACTGAGCCACATCCCCAGCCCTTTTGGTATTTTATTTAGAGACAAGGTCTCACTGAGTCTTGTTTTTTGCTGAAGCTGGCTTTGAACTCACGATCCTCCCGTCTCAGCCTCCAGAGCCACTGGGATTACAGGCATGCACGGCCTGATGAGAAGTCTTTTGAATTGTTTTCCACTAAAGTAAGGCACAGTAACTTCATGGAGGGAGGTGGGTGAAGATTGGTGAACAGTGAGAGAAATACCCAGTCTGACACATAGGCATCAGATGTATACCTCAATCTAATGCAGACCTGAGTGTCTAAGTGTCAAGTGTGCATGTGTGTCTGTATATACACACGCCTATGGAGAGAAAACCTTGCTACTTTCAAGATTTTTTCTTTGTTTTTAGTTCTCAGAAGTTTGACTCTTAGGTGTCTTGTGGATTACTTTTTTTTTTTTTTAGAGAGAGAGAGAATTTTTTAATATATATATATATATATATATTTTAGTTCTCGGCGGACACAACATCTTTGCTTGTATGTGGTGCTGAGGATCGAACCCGGGCCGCACGCATGCCAGGCGAGCGCGCTACCACTTGAGCCACATTCCCAGTCCTTGTGGATTACTTTTATGCTATTTGGAGTTTGCTCAGCTTCTTGAATCTGTGGTTTAGTTTCCCTTGCCAAATTTGGAAAGTTTTTACTGATTGTTTCTTGAAGGATTTTCTTAGCTTTGTCCTCTTTCTCCTGCTGCCTGTGATTCTGATACTATGAATATGGATGTTTCTTTTTGTTTTGTTTTTGGTACTAGGGATTGAACCCAGTGGTGCTCTACCACTGAGCTACATCCTCAGCCCTTTTTATTTGAAGACAAAGAGTCTCACTAAGTTGCCAAGGCCTATCTGGAACTTGTGATCCTCCTGCCTCAGCCTCCTGAGTAGCTGGGACTCAGGCGTGTGGCAGCATGTCTGACTTGAATGCTGTGGTTCCCCATATTTTCCAGTCTCTGTTGTGGGTGTGTACACCTAGATATACAGTTACAGAGATATACATTAGATTGATGTATGTATCTGATATATGTTAGGTGAAAGGGGCTTCGTTTGCAGCAGTCTCTCCTCTTGCAAGGAAGACAACTTTGAGGGTGGCCTGCAGGGAGGTTGGTGGCTTTAGTGCCCTTCCAGTCCGTGGATCTGAGCTGCAAATGGGTCTGGGCAGAGGTGTCCAGGAACATGAACTGCAATGTGAGTCGGGATCCTGAATGTCTGATACAGGTTGGAATCCAGGGGTTTTGGTGACCGTCCTGAAGTCAGTGTTCTGGGCTCAGAAGCTGCAAGCTGTAGTCATTCCAGGGGACTGAAGATCCTCTAGGGATAGATTCTGAAAATGCTGCCAGGGCTGATAGATGCCCAAGGGCAGGCGTCCTAACAGTGGCTCCTGGAGATCAGCCCCAGCTGTAGGCCATGTTCAGGCTGGCCTCCTGCCTCTATGCCGCTGGGTGCTCTGGACCTCAGCTTGAGGACTCTCTGAAGGGAGGTGTGAAGGCCCAGGTTGTACCCACCCTCAGCACCCATCTGCCTCTTGGTTTGCTTCTCACACTAGGCTCACATAGAGAAAGAGGTTCTCTACTGCTCGCAGCCACGGTTCCTGGGACCCAGAAACAGAACAACAGCTGTGGAATTAAATTGGATTCAGGGGAGCTCACCCTTTTGTAGGCTGTGCTATAAAAAGCAAAGCTCTGGGGGAGATGGCCTTTCTTTGCCTCAGCTATGCAGATCACGTCTGGGAGCTGGGCTGTGTTGGGCACGTGGTGAGAACTATCCCTTGTGGGTGCGTGGAGAATTCAGTGTGGAGGCTCCCGTGGCCTCTGGGTTGTGGAGCTGCTGCAGATGGATGTCTGGGTGTGGACTTTAGAGCCCGTGGGGCTCTATTGGGAAGAGATGTCAATGGAGCTACTTAGGGAGACTGAGAATGTCCCATTAGGGAGGAGTCCCAACAGACAGAGGCCAGGATGCAGCCCTTGGGGCATCTGGAGCAGCCTTTAGCTCGCTGGGCCTACTTCTGAGCTTTTCAATGTTCGTTGGCAGTGACTGGCAGGGCTAAGTATCCCTGGTCTTCTGGGGGCCTCAGCCCAGGGGAAGCTCTTTAGGGCAGAGGCAGGTCTGATAGGGGGTCCCAATTGACCTCTGACCTGCCTGGACTCCCCTGGCAGGTGTTTGCTTCTGAGGAGGCCTATAAGGGGCCAGCATACTTCTGTGGCCAGGGCTGTCTGTCCATCCTCCCTCTTTTCTTCCTCTTTGCTTCTAGACAAATGATGCAGCTGGAAACACCTGGAACTGGCTCTACTTCATCCCCCTCATCATCATCGGCTCCTTCTTCATGCTCAACCTTGTGCTGGGTGTGCTCTCAGGGTAAGAGCCCTGTGGGACTTGTGTGGATTCCCTGTGTTCTCAGACGGAAGAGAGCAGGAATGGAGTCAGACATGGGCACACACGATGCGGTTGTTCCCAGTGTCCTGGGCACTGGGACCTTTCCTTGTGCCACCATCATGACTTATCCCTTGGCCAACCCTTCACCTTCTTCCCCCTTTTACATCCTTGCGCTCCGCTCTGCCTCTGTTGTGGAGAGGGGCTGCAGCTGCTCCTCACCCGGGTGTGGTCTATGCTGGAGTTTCCGGGCAGCCTCCGTGGCCATAGAGAGAGCAGACATGGCCCTCAAAAGTCTTGGCTCTGCACCCCACCTTAGCCTAGCCTCACCGCCACCTGGCCTTTTGTGCTGAGCTCCTAAGGAGAGCTTGGGAGTTAACTTTATATTACTGTGACCAAGATACCTGACATAAAACCTAAAGGAGAAAAATCATATTCTGGCTCAGAGTTTCAGAGGTTTCAGTCCATGTTTGACCGATTCCATTGTTTTTGGGCCTGAGGTGAGGCAGAAGGGCATGGTGGACGGGCGAGGTGGAGGGAAACTGCTCAGCTCATGGCATCTGGGAGGGAGGAGTGGAGAGGGACCAGGGACAAGGTATGATAATCCCCAAGGGCACAGCCGCAAAGACCCATCCTTCAATTAGGTTCCTCTGGCCTTCAAATAGTTAATCCACTGACCAGGTCCGAGCCCTCATGATCTAATCACGTCCCAAAGTCACACTTCTGAACTTTGCTGCACTGGGGACCAAGACCTCACACATGAGTTTTGGGGGATACTTATATCTAAGTCATAGCAGACACCCTGTGTCTCTCCCTTCTGTCTACCCTGAAGCCTCCTGCTCAGGCCTAGGCTACTGGGTGGGCTGCAGGTAGAGCCTGGTAGCTCCAGGGGGAGCTGCCATGGTGGCCAGAAAAGAACAGACACAGGGAGGACGGCACTGGCCACAGCCCACATGCTCTGGTGCTGGAGTGATCCTTAGCTTCAAACCTGTCATATAAGGGACCTGATTGTCATTGCTGTGTCTTCCCATGCCCTCCTCAGAGACGAGCAGGGCCCACAGCACAGGGGATAGTTCAGAACTCCTAGTCTAGTGGGGAAGCCAGTGGAGGTCTGGGGCTCAGAAAAGGCATGTGAGGCGGGGGCATCTCAGCTGAGACCCAGAGAGGGACTAGGAGTGAGCCAGGTGAAGGGAGGAGGGTCTTCCAGGCAGAGTTCCTCTGCCGCAGGCTCAGCAGTGTGGACAGTGTGGCACTTGTGTGCTGCGGGGATTCTTGGGGATGGAGCCAGGATTGTGGTGGGGAGAAGGCTGGCAGTCACCAGGGTTTGGAGAGCCATGGCCCCTGCTGAGGACACTGCACATGGGAAGACTGACCAGAGAACATGTGGGTTCCCAGCAGCCGGGAGAGTGGCCCTCTCTTGGGCTGAAGGGAGCTACCTGGAGGTTTCCAGCAGCCTTCACCTCCTGTCTAGCCCTTTATCTCTGGGGCTGCTCCCCTGGGAGGCCTGGGGTCTTTGCACTGATTGCTGTTTGCCTCCCTGGCCCTGCTGGATGCAGGGAGTTCGCCAAGGAGCGAGAGAGGGTGGAGAACCGCCGTGCCTTCCTGAAGCTCCGCCGGCAGCAGCAGATCGAGCGGGAGCTCAATGGGTACCTGGAGTGGATCTTCAAGGCTGGTGAGAATCTGTGGGAGCTGGATGCTGCACTGGTGATCTGCCCTCTGTTTCTCTGTGTTCCCAGTTTGCTCTGCTCCCAGTGGCTGTCCCTGGCTATGGGGTAGAGCTCAGTGCAGGGAAGCTGAGATGGCTGGAAGGAGCTGGGACTAGAGGAGGCCTCTCTCTCCAGCTCACCCAGGCTCCTGGCACCAGGCAGCCAGATGGCACTGACTACACTGGGCTTTTCAGTAGATGATTTTGGCATGGTCATGTTAGACCTGAGTGCCCTGCCCTTGACCTCAGCTCCTTCCAAGCCTGGCTCTGGGCTTGGAAACCCTGGACTTTCCAATTCCCCTCCTGGCCCAGCCAGTGCTCTCCTTCCTGTGGACACTGTCCATGCCACTTGAGGGTTCACAAATGCTTCCCCAGTGATGAACTCACAGGTGGGCAGAATGTAGATGGGGACATGGGATGGACTCAAGACAGCTGGCCTCTCTGCATGGAACCCTGTCTAGGTCTTAGAATCAGGGACCTAGCCATAGGCTTGCTGGCTGCTGAAAGCATAGAAGTAGAGCAGAGGAGAGGATACTGGGTGACTTCCAAAAAGGGGTGTGCCCTTGTCCAGGGTGTTCCTGGGGACAGGCAGGGCAGGCTCTGACTGGAGGCTGTGTCCCTTCACAGAGGAAGTCATGCTGGCAGAGGAGGACAAGAATGCAGAGGAGAAGTCCCCTTTGGATGGTAGGTCATTTGATGGCACTCCATCAATGGAGTGGGGGCTCGGGGGTTGAGTGGGCAGTGGTGCGTGTTCACCTGTAATTATTTCCACACACAGTCTGCTGTGCCAGGCACCTGCAGGTTAGCCATGGTCACAAGCCATGGGGCCCTGAGGTCTGAGCCTGGGCTTCCCGATGTGCACACCATATTGCTGTGGAAGGCGGGGCTGGACAGGGCTGCTTCTGGAAGCTTTACACCTGCAGGCCTAGGGACCTGGAGTACTGCCGCTTCCAAAGGCTATGGAAAGACACCTGGGGCCAGAGTGGGGGGTTGGTGAAGGCAAGCATTGCAATGTTCATGGTACAGTTGCTAGCGCTGCCCACACCTAAGGCTCTGAGCAGGTCCACACTGGCCCCTTGGCAGCCCTAGCCTTGTCACAGATAAATGTTCCTGTGTCTCCCTGGTCGCCAGGCCCCCTACTGACTTTATTTTGGAGGGAAAAGAAAGCAGACCCAACCTCAGAATTTCTTGTCCCTCCTGCCCAAGGACTGGGCCCATGGGCACCAGGAATCGTCCTTAGCTCCAGCTGTGACAGAAGCTGAGGAAAGTGGCCAGTCCAGGGGGAGGATAACTCCCAGCTCCATGGACGGACACCCCAGTTCTGAGGTGGGTTGCCTGAGGCTGCAGCTCATGCCATCGCCGTGCCCTGTGTTTACAGCCGTGTTGAAGAGAGCCGCCACCAAGAAGAGCCGCCACGACCTGATCCACGCTGAGGAGGGGGAGGACCGGCTTGCAGACCTCTGTGCCGTGGGTGAGTCTGTCCTCTGGCTGCCAAGGGGCTGTGGCTGGACCTGCTGCTGCCGGGGTTCCTTCCTGCCCCAAGCCTGCTCAGGTCTTGGCACATGCTGCAGGTGTCTGCTCTTGGCTCTGCCGCCCTGTGGACAGAGTTCAAGGGCCACCAACAGTGAAGGGACAGTTTCCACTGAGGTCTCTCCTCTGTACACACACTCAACCCCTCAGAGGACACACGCGCACACACTCCCTCAGAGGACACACACACACACACACACACACACACACAC